GTGAGCTGTGTAGTCAAGTTAGTCACGGTTCTGTGGCTTCATTTGTGAGTGCAAGGGAAAAAGATAGATCTCGTGATCTAGCGTGTGGCGGTGACCTGTACAGTCATGTATGTGGCGAAAGGGTAGCTACATAAGCACTAGAGCTATTTAATCATGGGCATTAACTTGGATAAATTGGTTTCCATAAAAATAAACCAGAAAACATTGACACAAAGTAAACGGTTATAAAACACTAAAAATAAGTACTGTGAACCGATTGTGGGGGCATAGGTAAAGTTACAAGGCACATATTTGATGTGATGAAATTCCTTGGATTAAGTAGCTGAAAATACCCATTGTAGTCATGAGAACGAAGAAGGTAGCAAACAGAGCTTGTTTTCTGTGACTGTTCCTCTCGGCTAATACATCACAAATATATATGGTAGCAGAAATCACGTGGAAGAGGTTAAGATCGGGGCTGCATACACTTTAGAGAAATAGAAATCAACGGAAAGGCGGTTGGATGAGGGATAGGTCAATGGGTCACGGAATCAGGTAAGTGATGTCAATGTCAGACAGACTTGTGGGACCGGATTTTTCGTAGGCCAACTCAAGTTCAGAGGTCGCACAAGTTTCCTCTGGATGCAAAGTTGCGGATCCAGCAGTCGCATTCCAGTTGCCTCTGCGATCGACAGTAGTCTGGATCGTACCAGTCGTGATCGGTTCAGAGGTACCCGGCATATGATTGTGAAGGCTTGCTCCTTGTCTATGACATGACTGGTTTCGGCCAAATGGGATGCAATCGCGCTTGGGCCTGGTTTCTTCTCCCTATCACTCAGAGATACGGGATTGTGTTCGGGCATTCTGTCCGACAAATGTCTTGTCGTACGACCAACGTATGATGCTTGACGCTGGTCAATTCGTGTTACAAGTACCTCACCTACAAACCCAGAAACAAACGACTTTTAACAGAGGAACATTTCGAGGCTCTGGAATGTTGACAGCAAAACGACCAGGTTTTACTGTCCAAGCCAGATAAAGGTTGGGAAATT